CTGCAGTCTTCAGGTTATTCCTGTAAGCTGGGAATTCCCATCACAGCTCCTGTTCTTGACATCAAATCTATTGTATATTTGTAAGCGTGTGTGACGTTTTGAGCAGGTCTGACGGGCTGGCCTGCCATTGTTTTGTAAGAACAATCTCAATGAGGTCACACTGTTGTGTATCACTGACATCTGTGATTACAAAAGCAGGGAAATATTTGAGTCGGTGTATGTGTGAGTGTATGATACAAAATGCTTTGTCAGGCAGAAGTGTCATGGTGAACATGAGATTTTTTAGCCAATTCTAAGTATTACAAAAAGTGCATCTCGGGTCATTTTGCCACATGATTATGGCAGTTAAAAGTGCTTGTCTAAAATGCAGTGGAAGATATTACGCATGTGTAAATTGGTTTACACAGAACGTGGGCAGTGGAATGGGGAAAAACCGCAAGGTCTTGAGACGCGTCTTTTAAAAGTTATTTTAACTTGACACAGCATTCTAAAAACACGGCGCTCATGCGTGAGATGCTCCAAAAGATGTGAGACGCAAGCGCAACAGTTAAAGACGTCCGTATAGCACATGTTTACATTCATAAAGTAGCGCAGTGGAATGGAAAACCACGTTCTGTGTTAGAATGCGTATAATGACGTCGCAACTCAGAATTGGCCACTTGCCTGTTGCTATACCAGATTCTCTGTAGCTGAGCACGCTAATTCAGCAACGTAAAACAAATTAATAATAAAATGTCACCATGTCACCAATCAACATAACACAGTCCCTATACATTTCATATCGTCAGTAAACTCTTGCTTTACCAAGGCAGCGACTGACGGATGGCATTTATACAATTACATTCCAAAGAGCACTATTATCAGTCCCACAATGGAAATGAAACCATATCTTGCATTATACTGGGCCAGATCGACATAGAATGGAATGGTTAAAGGATTAGTTCACTTCAAAATGAAAATGCTGTCATCATTTACTCACCCTCAAGTAGTTTCAAACCTGTATGAATTTCTTTCTACTGCTGAACACAAAAGAAGATATTTTGAAGAATGTCAGTAACCAAACAGTTGATGTACCCCATTGACTTCCATAGCATTTGTTCTCCTATATGGAAGTCAATGGGGTACATCAACTGTCTGGTTACCGACATTCTTTAAAATATCTGAAGAAGAAAGAAATTCATACAAGTTTGAAACAACTTGAGGGTGAGTAAATGATGACAGCATTTTCATTTTGAAGTGAAGCAAAGAGAACCGTTTTTCCTGACAGTGGAAAGGTGGCTTTAGAGCATCAAGTCTGTTCTAGTCTACTGAAAACAAACTAATTACACCCACAGAAGAATGTTTCTTTTAGGCAACAGTTGCACAATTTCACTTTTTGCAGTGTGTGTTGCCGTGTATGGTTGGTCAGAAGGCCATAATGAACAATTAAAAGAGGTCAGCTTCAGTTTCTAGGTCAGCTGTGCTATACCTTTTCCAATCCAAGGTGATATGAGGGTGAACTGGAAAGGGTGCCGTGGTATCCAGTATCTGGGCAGAGGAGTTCAACAATTGCTGCCAGCTGTCCTTCTGCAGAAGCGCTGCCAATATCTATCTGTAGATAAATGAGTGGAGAAAAACAGCACAGGGCTTATGGCTGTACAGAGCATGACGGAAAACTACAAGCCCACACAAGACCACCACTCACCTTTGGGAACGCACCATTCTCAGCTGCAATTGTGTAATGTCTCAATTTGCAGATGTTGAATTCAGAGGAAGCAAGAAATATGTAGTTCAACCAGTCTGCACACTTCAAACAAAAAAAGCCAAAGTGGGAACGGCTGAACTTGAATTTTAAAGAGCAATATTCCCTCTTTTATCTCCCTCAAACACAGATGATTAAAGATTCAATACAGCAAGAAGACTAATGACTCCATAGGGTATGAGGCAAACTTGGGAGAAAAGAAGAGAAGAGGCCTCTGGAGAATTCTTCAGCACAGAGGAATACGCTTTAAAATATACAAATTTATTCATCTGAAAGTCTGCCGAGGCTCTGTGGCTTCAGGTAGCACGTGGGAGAGAGGAAGCGCAAGAGAGGGAGAACTAACAAGCTCTTCTCACACCTCTTGAGTCAATCATGCTTATAGTGATTTGTTTCCTTGTATGACACACAGTCTAAGGTAAATTGAATGATCGAAATGCACACAAATTACTCAGCACTGGTAAACAACTAGTGCAAAGGCAAATGACAACTTCTTAAAGCTGAAGCTTGTAATTTTTTTCAGTAATAAAATATTTTCGGTTTCACTTTATTTTGAAGGTCCCTTTAACACATTCTGTTGACTTGAGTAACATTGCACCTACATGTCTACTATTTCTCATTAGAGTGTTAGTATAGTATTAGTAGACTGGTAGGGTTAGGGTTAGAATAAGTTGACATTTAGTTGCAAAGTTACTTATAGTCAGATTGTCTGTTGGAGGACCATCACAATAAAGTTAGCAGATATTAAGCAAGCAGTCTACTAATATTCTAATGAGAGTTAGTTGACATGCAGTTGCAAAGTTACTTATACAGGCAGAGATAACTAAGCCACGTTGGCCAATTTCCCTGAAAAGTAGCCTATATACGCTTTGGCTGTGTGACGCTATCAAAGCATTGCTGTTGATATTGCACCATTGACACAACCATTAGTGTGCTGCAGGGATGATGCATTTTTGTAGGCCAACCCGTAAGTTAACATGACCCTGGCTCCCTTAGCAAAATCTCGATAGGATTTTTCCATTGAATCCATTTTCCACTGTGACCAACAAAAGATTATGATTCTTACAGGTTTTGTAACACACATTCATCAGGATAATCTTCACAGATTAATGCACCTTATGAATATTGAAGCTTAAATACAATTGCCAGAACAGAGATGTAAAGAGTACCTGAAAACCATACTTGAGTAAAAGTACAGATACCTTACAGGAAAAATTACTCCATTACAAGTTACCAATTCCAATTCAACTCGAGTAAAAGTCTTGAGAGTATCAGATTTTAACAATATTTAGGAATTTTACTCGTACTGAATGTAGGCTCAAAGAAACACTAGTCACCATGCCAGTAAAAAACAAGAAACAGATGATTTGTGAGGAGAGCAATCACGTTTATTTAAAAAAAAATCAAAAGAAAACTGAACACCTTAATATTGTAATAAATCAAGGTCGACACCACAGCCTCTTAAATGTCTACAAACACTCAAGTCTCAGTTAAGCTCAAGTGGCCAAAAAGGGCATAAGTAAACTTCAAAAAGGACTCTTCAATATAAGTACAATCAAATAGTCAAAGCCTACTTGCATTGGACGTCCTGGTTTCGTCCTCATCTCATATAGGAAACACCTGTGATTCAGCAACAGCCTGCTAATGACCTCATATCCGCGTAAAGTAGCTCTGTTGACAAGTTTGGGTATAAGGGCAAAACGAATACATAGTACCTTCAATGGCCTGTAGATGGCGATATCACTTATTTTGCAGCTGAAATAAATTAGTAATTGCATTACTCATCACAAATGTATACTCACAACCGGCGCAACGTCATAGAATGTCTCAGAACAGATTCACGCCCACTTGCATACCACTTTTAGGGGAAAATAAACTAGACTTCCCATAGACTTCAATACAAAATAGCGTCACAAAACAACGTCCGTACACAGCCAGCAGTCGTGAATAACTTAAGAAATCACTAAGATTAAACATGTCAAGTAATTATATGTCCACCCTGCCTGCCATAGAGCATGAAAAATACATCAACAAACTTAATTTGGTCAATTTAAAAACATGTCCCTTCATTCTCCCAGCGTCAAATTGGTGTAAACGAAATTGACAGTTAAGTTCCCAGATGTGCCGGTAGTACTTATTGGAGTAAAGAGTAGGCTACATAGCCTTTATTCAAATATGTTGTTAAGTAGAAAGCAAAAGTTGCTAATATATTTGATACTCAGTAAAACTACAAAGTATCCAAAAAGATACTTATGTACAGCCACTATCATCTACTGAAATATTTTACAAATGCTCTGCGCCATAAGTAAAAAGATAAATAAATTACACCGTGGTAGTATGACGTCAACGTCACCACCATTAAGCTTCTGACAACTCTTTTAGTCTTTATTTAAACAACATTTTCGCTGAAAGTTTCACTGTAAAAAAAAATCTGTAGAAATTACAGTATTACTGGCAGCTGTTTGCCAGTAACTTACTGTAGTTTTAAATTGATGTTATTTACTGGCAACAGTTTGTTCAAAGTTAAATGAACATTAAACATTAACAAGTCTTTATCTTTACAGAATAAAACTAAAATAACAGCCTCATGCAAAGCATTCTGGGAACCAAAATCTGAAGGAAAAAAAAACAGAAAACGGTTGATGAAGATTTCTGGTTCCCAGAATGCTTTGCATTAGATTGTTATTTTATAATTTTATTCTGTAAAGACAAAGACTTGTTAACTGTCGCCAGTAAATATACATCAATTTAAATCTACAGTAAGTTACTGGCAACCAGCTGCATAACTACAGCAATTTTTTTACAGTGTTGAGTTTGAATATTTTGCAACAAAACGATTAGGCTGTGATAGCAGACTGTGGAATGTTTTCCTGATTGCCATGATGACGTTTAATGTTCCCGATAACCTCTGTAGTCCCATTTAGCCACTTGTTAGAAATCGCCTTTTCAAAGACAAAAAAAAAAAAAAAAGTTAAATATCACAATGGGCTATGATGTACAGAATTTATAGGCTTAGAATAAACCATGAAAATATTCTGAGCTTGTGTTAACTACAGACCTTATTTCAGGTATTTAATCAAGAACCCGTTCAAAAAACCCATTGACTTCAGAACGATGGGACTGGAAGTGCTAAAATGACAACTCGTTTCCGGGTTTCGGCCTACAAAAATATGTCATCCCTGCAGCACTCTATCGATATAGTTGTCAAGGAGTCCCCATCCACTCACAGGGGAAAAAACAAACTCATTAGTTCTGATGCTAGTGACACAAAACTTGCTTCACCTTGAATATGCTGTATCAGACAAAAATACATTGATGACTGACATTATATTTAATGACAAATACGTTGTACACTCATCGCAAAAAAGGAGGAATCAAGCTTTTATCTTCGCTCCAAATCACCGTACAATCCTGAGGAAGGATGGATTTTTTTTTCTTTAATTTGCCGGCCCTGCAGTTACTGCAGCACATTCCACAGATAAATGGTCCTTGTCCTCTCCCATGTGAGAGCCATTGGGTGACAGAGTGACAAATGGAGCTGGCTCTCCTGCCCAGTGAGCAGAGATTATTGTCACTCAGTGTAGGAGACGGGATTAATGACCTGGACCCAGTGGCAAAGGCTAATCATGGGAGATTAGGTGACGGAAATCCTGCAGGTATTCAAGGAACAGAAGGGGGCTCCATCAGCAGGTCTACAAGGATGTGGTATTACCTGTGGTAATGGGAGGGAGCAAAAGTTCAAAATGACTCCAATACTTAATTTATTATCCTTTTATGCTAACCAGTTTAGTAAAAATCTTCAGATAGCAGTGATTTTGCTTTATGCTGTTGATCACATGACCTGATTTCCACTGTGGTGTATAAAAGGGGACATTAATGTTTTTTTTTTATATCGTACAAGCTTAATGCAATCCATTGTGTGCACAAAAAGGGAGGGATGGTGATATTGCCCCAGGCCACCAGAGAGTTTCACCATAAAGAGGGATTTGTACATGGACCATCTCTCATCCCTTGCCAACACCTTGGGAATAGCCCTTATGAATGACCCAATTACTTGCCATTTGTTTTCATGAAAACTTTGCAGGGCACCAATACTCTGAGCATGATAAAGAACTGCGCTGAAACTGCTATGTGGCTGTTTATATTGTATGTGGTGGAACTTAGTTTACTTTGTCATTCAGACCCACCTTGACCGTATTTGTGATGATAACTGTACTTTGAAAACAAAAGTGAATACAAAAAAAACGAAAACAATGCTGCATTCATACTGCTAGATTTAGCAAACAAACATGCAAACACTACTTATAGTTGGTTGTAATACCGATTGCTATTGCTTTTTTTCACTCAGAAAACCAACCGTTCAGTAATCGATTGCAAAACTTGATCTGCATCTATCCAATAAACAGCCGAAGCATATAGAACCAACATTTCAAAAATCTGTTTCGTTTGGATGTATGTAACAATGCGAAAGACAAGATATGTCGCTATTTCCCTTACATTGTGACTTTATGGTTACTACAATGAGTAACTCACATGACTGCAGCTGATTTCGAATTGATATCTTTCTACCAACTGATCTTTTTTTTTGTACTGCGGTGGCATGCGGTGTTCGGATGCAGACTTTCTCCCAGCAGCAGCAGCTGTGACACCATCTTTGTATCTTAAGGTGCTGCCTAATCACCCTTGCAACTCTAACTACATCTCTCATGTTTTCAATCAGCAAGGCCCATAAATTATTGTCAGCAGTAATCACAGTCGTCCACTCAGGGCCCACTGAGGGGTCCTTGCCTGTCTGCGTGCATCGATTCAGTCTTTTCTGGCACTAGACTAAAACATCTGAGGGGTCTGAGCGCTCGCCAAGCCAACGTACCACTGACAGCACGAGAGGAAGAGGTCTCTCAGAGGAGGTGGTGTTAATGAAAATGATTAACCTATCTGCACAGCGCTGGATGACAAAATCAGAGCTCATTACATCAAACCTGACAGGCTCGGCATGTGAAATTATTTAGACTGTGTGCTGTGCTGTTCGCGCCGTCCCCCTGCCCTGACTCATCGTCTTGATCTCTGATTTTAAGTCGCCAAGGGTCAGTCCTTCGCAAGCACGTTGCTGGAAACCTTCCTCTAATTCGTTGAGGGTGAAAACAAGAAAAAATGGAAATATATGCATCTCTCTTCTTGTTTCTAATAAACTCATCCGGCGGCTTTGGCAGGCAGCCCAAGCACTCACAGCACAGCCTGCCTTTTTCACCACCGCACACTTTTCTTTCACTGTGAAAACTGCCAGCATGGGGTGGCACAGTCACTTCTGGCGAGGGGGTGCTGTCAGTCTCCATCAGTGAGAAGCAGCCTTCTATTTCAATTAACTCTCATCTGCCCTAGACTGTCACCATGACGGCCACATTAAGTGAAGGACTGGCGTTATGAAGCAGGTGGGTGGAGAAGGGAGGAGAGATGCATGGCGTAACAGACACTCAAATACCTGTCATCACAGAGTTCTTCTGTAACGGAGAGACCGTGTGGATCGGTTGTGGTAAACACAGCGCAACACCATGCATATGCTAAATTCAGGCTGAGATGGAGGACAGGAGCAATGAGGCATGTAATCTCCTGGATGTAATGGAGGGAAGAGAGGAATTTTAGTGGATATTGAAAAAGAGCCATTTCTAATGATGTGCCTGAAGCTGAATATCTTTTTCAGGCACGAATGACTTAAAAATAAAAAATATATAAAATATAAATAAAAGTTATTCAACAAGCACATGAAATAAAATATTTTAAAATGATTTACATTAAATTAAATATTTAATTAATTACATTTTTTTTCAATGTCTTTCATTTAATAAAAATACTCTACTATTCAAAAGTTTGGGGTTGGTAAGATTTTTTCAGAATTTTTTTTTAAGATTCTCAATTTAAAAAAATCATCGTCATTATTTTCATGGAAATATAAATTATATTTCAGAATATAAAAAGTTCAAAGAAGTTGAAACAATATTAAATAGTCTCTACTGTATCCTTGCTGAATTAAATAATTTATTATAACAAATTATATGAGGCATATTTGCTAAATGGAAACTATAAATGGAAAAGAGTTCTTTTTTTTTTTTTCTTTTTTTTTGACACACTCCTTTAAAGTCCTGCCAACATCCTGTTTTATCTGAATTTTGATACAAATAATTCTATCACTGCACTAGACACATATACATCCCTGTATTTAGATGTGCCAGTGTTGGGGGTAACACGTTACAAGTAATGCGAGTTACTTAATCAGATTACAGATAACTAGTAAAGTAATGCATTACTTTTAATTTTACAACAAAAAATCTGAGTTACTTTGTTGTCCCATTTATTGACTGACAGCTCTCCTGTCCCCATGTTGAGAGAAATCAGGAGTAAGCAAATCGCATTTCTTTCAGCCTAAGGCCTTTTCATTTCACTTTTGGTGTGAAAGGGCCTTTACGTTTGCCAAATATATATATATATATATATATATATATATATATATATATAAACAAGCCCAGTCCAGGAGAAAAAGAAATGAAAAAGTAACGTAACACATTAATTCCATAAAAAGCAACTAAGTAGGTAGTTACTTTTTTTAGGGAGTAACGCAATTTTGTAATGCATTACTTTTAAAAGTAACTTTCCCCAACACAGTTCATTGCACACCCCTAGTTTATAATAAAGGTAAAGTCAGTGGACAAATGTTCCTCTAAAATAAATAAAAATGACTACTTAAGGTGACTTCTGGAGAAATCTGGAGGTGTTCTTCAGGGGAGCAGTATAGAGATCTTAGTAACCGGGGACAGTCTGGGGAGAGGAGGTGCTGCCCGTAGGTTGTTTATGTGAGCTCCTGAATCAGGGGGATTCGGTGTGCAACACCCTTGTTGGGCATGAAGCTCTCAGTGGGGAAGAGCCTGAGGTGGAGGCTGGTAAACATGGCTATCCCAGCAGACACCACAGGAGCTTCAACAGACACCTGACGATGACAGTGGATAACAATGGTGTTATTGAGAGACTCTCAACATGTATAACAGACATAAAACATGATACAGCTAAAGTTTTTTTTTTTTTGTGACTTTTTTAGGGGGTGTCCTATCATTGGGGGATAAAGAATCACCGATATGCTCTATAAAATAAGGCAGGGGAAATATTAGGGGTGTGCAGTCACTGTCTGTTTACAGTATAGCCTATATCTGTTGTACTGACAAAATTATTCGGTAACACTTTACTTGAAACGGTGTGCATAAGACTGACATGACACCTTCATAATCATGACATGACACATGTCATAAAAATGTTTATGACAACTGTCATTAAGTGTCATTCGCTCAATTATGACATTTTTAATGCAAATATGACATTGTTTGAGATGTCTTGGTAATGACACATTGACATAAACCAATACATCATAACCTGCTGTGTCTTTGACATAACATAAATGTGTCATAAACATGACATAGCAGATTAATTATCAAACTTGAGAAACCACTTAGCTTTATGGGTTAACATTACATTAAACTGTCAGGTGGTTGGTTTTGACATTGGCTGTCATGAGGCCATTATAACATTTTTATGACAAATTCAATTTGTACCACTATAGTTGAGGTCAAGAAAAATATTCATGACATCGTTACAATGGCCTCATGACAGCCAATGTCAAAACCAACCACATGACAGTTTAATGTAATGTTAACCCATAAAGCTAAGTGGTTTCTCAAGTTTGATAATTAATCTGCTATGTCATGTTTATGACATATTTATGAAAATGTATCATGTATTGGTTTGTCAAGTTGTCATAACAATGACATTTTAAACAATGTCATATTTGCATTCAAAATGTCATAATTGAGCGAATGACACTTAATGACAGTTGTCATAAACATGCATGAAACCTCTTTCATATTCATGACATGTGTCATGTCATGATTATGAAGGTGTCATGTCAGTCTTATGGCTTAGTCACTTCATACTTGTGTATTAGACATTGTCACCTTGTGGAATAAAGGTGAATTGCACTTATTCAGTCATCAGAGATTTAATTATTGTTGTGCAGAAAAAATATACTTACACTGTTACACACCTCGGTCGTTAGCGACTCTATACAAACAATGTTTTTTTTTACAAAAAAATGAATGGGTAAACAAACAGGCATTTTTCTTGTTATATTGTTTATGCACTGATTGAGGAATACTAAGATGGTTGATGACTAACTTTAAAAAATGAATGAGGAGGAGGCTTGTGAACGACGTCCCGGGTCACTAAAGACCCAAGTTATGCATTTAAGGGTTACAAATGTTTTGTTAGTTCTAAAAATACAATGTGCAACCAGCAATGTGCAATAGGCCTATATATTATGATTTCTTTCTTTTTTTTGATGCATGATGTAAACCTGTTGTAGGAGAACTCGAAAGCAAAATTAGGAACCACAATATGCCACAATAGCACAATATGGCCACTTTAAAACCTTTACACAGACATTTTCCACAAAAGGTGGAAAATATAAATGATATCTTTAGTGTTACTCTCGAAAAGTTAGATCCACACGATAAAAGGAGATGCAATGTGCCATCTGATTTGAATTTTGCACATTTTCAATCATGATGTTCACACTTTAGTCACATTGGCTTTAGAGACTCAAAATGGCCTTTTTAGAGACATTATTAGAAAAATATTGCTTTGTCCTTGGGCTTGGATAATCAGTCATATGTATATGTGCCATACTGTATAACACCCTGGAGGGGAAAAGGAATTTTTTTAGGATAAACTACCCAGTACAAAAGGACCCTAATGTTGTAATCCAATGCAAACTTTAAACGTCTAAACAGTCAGATCTCGCCAAGCACTTTGCACAGAATCAGAGACTATAAAGAAAGAAAGAAAGAAAGAATCTGTTCCAGTATGTTCCCAGACAACCTTTCTCCAACAGAACATGAGATGTTCCACTGTAACGAATTCCTTGTGGTTGGCTGCGCTACAGAAGACCATTGTACCAGCACTGTGGCCAAAGATCGACTATCTGCCACCTGTAAAACCCATATTGAAGCAACATGTGGTCAAAAACTCAACTTTTCATTTCACGCCATGGTTGCCTGAAGGGATGATAAACATTACACAAAAAGCTGTATTCCCTTTGTGATTTAAGGCTCTTTCCTCAGTCCCTCGGTGTGATCATTCCCTGAAAACAGCCTTTGTGCTTGATTCCCACACATGATATAAATAATATATCTGTGCTTACTTTAGGTGACACAGTATGAACATACCGCTAATGGGGAACTTTCAGAGAAAACAAAAAGGAAGGTCATAGAGCAACACAAAACGGCAATTTAGCTACTATTATGGCTTCTGAGGCCAGCTTCAGTGGATTACATCATTCCATTGTTGTAATGAGCGGGACACATATGATCACCGTTCATTTTCAAAGGATGTGTGTCCGAGCCAAAACACAGTCTTGTTCCATATGCATCCTGCTGGATCCATGTGTCCTTCGTATCATCTCTCATTCACTTTGTTCCCCAGCCACTGAACGTCGATATAGCATTCAAGGTTCAATCCATTCACTATTACTGTAGATGGTTCTCATATCCTGCTTGGATTCTGTTGAAGGAGCGAAAGGGATAGGGGGATTATTTAGAATGGGTGAATTTAGAATGGTGAACAATGGCAAGTCTTTTGGCTTGTAATAAAAGAGAAATCTGTAGATCCATCACAAATAAATATTACGAGAATCCACTTGGAATTAAAGGAATATTACGGGTGCAGTACAAGTTAAGCTCAATCAGCAGAATTTGTGGCTTAATGTTGATTAACACAAATGTATTTCCATGTATATCCATGTTACAGTGAATGAAGCACTTACAATGGAAGTAAATGGGGCCAATATGCACACATTAAAATACTCATTTTAAATAGTTTAGCCACAAGATGTAAATATATATTTTATGTAGAGTTGTGTAAATATAGAACTTTACCTTGTCACCATGACAATGCAACTAAAACTAAATCTGTAAAAAATGATATTTTGTATTATCTTTACAGCTCAAATAAGTTTTAATAAAATAATTTAAATTACTTTTTTAATTTAAATATTTGATAAATTATCCCACAAAATTGTCCCGATTTACTTCAATAGTAAGTGCCTCACTGTAACACTGAAATAAAATCAAATATAAAAATTAGATGAAAAACTTAAACTTAAAAAAGTTAACTTATTCTATTTCAGTTAGTTGCCAATGGTAAATGTAAACTTGTTGTTTAATGACTTAAACTAAAAATAAATAAATCTAAATATATATATTAGGGCTGTCAAATGATTAATCGCGATTAATCTCATCCAAAATAAAAGTTTGTGTTTACATAATATATGCGGGTGCACTGTGTATAATTATTTTATATATATAAATACACACACATGCTTGTATATAGCTATTTAAGAAATATTTTCATGTATATACTGTGTATAGATTTAAATATAATCTTTATTATATATAAATATTTTATATATAAATAATATATATTTTTCTTAAATATACATGCATGTGTTTGTATTTATATATATATACAAAATAATTATACACAGTGCACCCACATATATTATGTAAACACAAACTTTACTTTTGATGCGATTAATCGCAATTAATCATTTGACAGCCCTAATATATATATATATATATATATATATATATAGACTAATAAAAATGACAAAATTGCTTAAACTAAAATTAAAATGATAACTGAAGATAAAAGCTAAAGATAATATAACACTGAGCATACAGGGATAATTGATGAAAATAAGAATTCTGTCATTTATTCCTCTTCCAAACCTATAAGACTTTCTTTCTTCTGCGGAACACAAAAGAAGATCTTTTCAAAATATATTTTCATTTATGAGTAAATGTGGCTTTTGTGAGGTAGAAAAGTGGAGGAGGACAAGAAAGGACACAAATAAAGAGAGAATCCCAATCAGAAACATGATGAAAGGCAGAAAAGAGGACGCACTAGAGGACAGCGGGGCAGACGTGGTAGAGGGCATCAGTCTCCTTTACGGCGCGATCACATTTCGGCATGCACAGGATGAGCAGCCCTTCAGGTGAGCGCGGTTGTCAACAGAGACAAACTGCAGCTCTTGGGACTGCCCCAGATCTGACAAACTATCCCCCTACATCAGTCACCTCATTTGATTCTACGAAGCAGCCTGCGCCCTGCTCAGGGTCACACCAAGCAGCAACCACAAGCTGTTCATCTCCAGGTGTCCATTAATGATGTTCTCCTTGATGCCACTCTCAAGCACTATACAGTGAAGTGTAATGCCTCACTCTGCTAATTACGAGCGGGGAGGACAGGAAGTGTGAAACTCACTAATGCTCCGCTAAATGTCAAACAGTAAACTGCTGACTCTTTATTTGTTGTCGAGGCGTCTCATTTCGCTCGAGAACTGGTGTTGGCTTAATGCAAATGCTGGGGGAAAGTACGTGTAGGAACGTCTTTGAAGTCCAGGGCTGTAGGGATAGTTGACAAGGACAGGAAGATGGAGGCGGTGTAAGGGGGAAACTGCTGAAAAGCTCCACCCCTATTAGCATATCAGACTCATTAGCATCCCACAGGCAAAGACCCCTGGGAGAAAATGAAGCCATCTTACTGTGAAATCTTATCCTCCCAATCTAAGCGCACTCTCCATATCCTTCCCTTCAGCTGCACAAAGTAGGGCGACCTGTAGCACGCTTCAGAGCAAAGCTCCCTGCGTTTTGCATGAGTAACTGCCCCCCTCTCCATTAAGCTGTTAAGCCACACAGTCAATTATCCTGGCTCAGGGAGGCAGCGGTTCATCCAGAGCCGGAGAAAACGATATGCTTTGGTGGACGGGCAATGAGAGGGGAGGGTGCCGTGAAACTGCATGTGTACTCGGGCCAAGTGATTTCTCACAAGGAGAAGGTAAGGCAATTAGATGCTTCATTGCCTCTGGTGTTACATAAAATCTAAGGAGGATAAAAATGAAAGGCCATAATAGGGACATTTTGAACTATTATCACTTGGCTGTCAGATTTAGTGCCATGGCAAAGGAGCACAGTTCCCCTTATAGGTCTGCACTTAAAAACCTGGGTATTGCCACTTGCTAAGTAAGACATTAAGGGAATAGTTCTCACTAAATGACCCTCACATCATTCCAAAATTTCTGTTATTCCGTGGAAAACTAAATAATGTTCATGTTCCTCATTTCCAAGCAAAAACAATAAAAAACTAAACAAGGGTTGTCAAGCTCAAAAATGCAGCAAAAATATTTCAACAAAACTAGAACAAAATTAAATGAAACAATTTTGTTAACTGAAATATGATTAAAAACCAACTGGGAAAAACTGAAACTAAACTAAAATACATGACTCCAAGACTTAATAACTTCATAAAACTGCCCACAAATTAATTTTAGTTTTTGATAGACTGTATATTATAATGCTTGAACCCTTACGACCCACCGGCATTAAAAATAAAAATGGCACTAAACTGCAGTGAGACATTTTACCTTTTCTTTTTTTTTTTACATAATAAAAGTTAGCACAATAACTTTGGCAGCCCTAAAATACACACACACACACAAAAAAACTAAAACTAACAGTGAAAACTTACAAAATTGAAAGAATTGGAAAAAAAACCCCACCAAGACATTTCAAATAGAACATAATTAAAACTTTAAAACAATAACAATCCTGCTTGTGAGATACAGTATATTCCAAGTCATCTGAAGCTATACAATACTTTTGAAAGAGAAACACGCCAAATAATAATTATTCACAGAACATATTGCCGCTTTTGCATATTCAATCTTGGCATGGCATCTTTTGCAAGACATGTAAGAGCCAATGACAGTTGGCATCACTGCCATCAAATCTGAATTTATGCAAAACCAATTGGTATCTTATGGCTTTATGGCTTCAGATAGATATAAAGAAATAGGTTATAGCTTGCATGGAGTGCTTTTTTGAGCTGTGTGAACATGTGGGGTGAAAATAATAACAACAACAAAAAAATTGTTTAATATGTAACACTCACTTTGTGTGCCATAGAGAAAACCAAAATCTACAAAGCTCCTATTCAACCCTTGCTCTGTTAAACAACCTGTGATGCACATCTGGACAGGAAGAGGCTTTTATGATTATTTAACAACAGTCGGAAGCTGCCCATCTCGGTGGAGACGACTCGGAGCACAAACCACAAATGGCCTTTTTTTTCATGTGGCGACTGTGAAAAACGCCACTCACATCTGAAACATTTCCATTTTCCCTTTCTACTGCAGACATCTATGCCACTCAAAGCCGCCGTTTCCCTGGGCTATGACCAGCAGCTACTGGTCCCATTCTTACAAAACACTACTTCTTCACCCCATACTATTAGCATATGCCATCCACATGGCTGCCAGGGAACAAAAACTGCACTGTAGTCGACTCGTGCTTTTGTTTGAAGCTGCTTCAAAAAGAATGAGTGTGGATTTAGAGTACAATGTGGAAGCAACCCATTTAACAAGCTTCCCCTCGAGAATAGAATAGAAGGGGAAAACGTCGTAGCCCGAAAATCTCCTAACCCCTGTGCGCAGAAGAGACCTTCAGAGTAAATAGATTTACTAGAGTGCGCCGGCTCATGATTATGCAAATGTGTGTGCTTTGGAAGTGCGGGGTAGCATGCAAACACCATGTGAAAAGAAAGTTATTTTCCATTTCTCAAATAAAAGTACCTCAGATTTTGCTGTAATTTCACAATCTGCAAACCCCACTTAGCCTAATGCAAAAAGTGGTTGTGGGTTCTTAAAAGGCAGCAATGTTTTCCCAGGATGTCACAGATAGCCCGGCGCATTGATAATCAGCCTGGAGCAGAACTGTAGAGAAATCAAGACAGATTTGAGAGATTAAACGTGAACCTAAAGAAGAAGAAAAAAAAAATCGTAATCATGAGTGAAAGAAAGAGCCATTAAATGGTAACCTTTTGAGCACATAACTACAATGCTGATGTATAATAATGAGAGCGGCTAAAGGTGGGCGTTTAAATGAGTGAGCGCTGTCGAAATCAATAGGGTCTCATCTTAATCAATAGGTCTTCAGAAGCAGAAACGCTGTGAACATGAGATCACAGCCACAAACAGTTGCATCCCTGTGTGGAGAGAAGCCGCTTGAAGTCAAGATCTGGACATGACCCCGAAGAGGTCCGTACACTGGGGGCTTATGTCACATGTGTTGATGTCAGTTTAGCTTACGATAAGATCATCTTAGGCTACAAGCTCCTCGGAAGAACTAGAACTACATGTGACTTGCAGCTTCACGCCAAGCAAAGGGCAGCCATGCACATGTTTCGAGAGTTGAATACATTTACACCTTGAGCAGACTGAGACAGAAATAGTAAGTGAATTGGAAGGAGATTTGTTACGGTTAGCCAATTTTGAGCAAAGATCATAAATGCTTATGTTACAGGATCATTTTGAAAAGTCCCTTCCGGTTACTCTTTCCAACTGAGGAAATGACTTTCTATTATCATAAATACACAACTTTAGTACTTTAGAAGGATTGTTTTTTTAGTAGGGGAGAAC